TCGATCGTTTTAAATTTCAAAGTTACCACAACAGTATTAAGATGATTCGATCATTCATATTCTACCAGCTGGATTTTAGTGTATCTATGACTGCCATCTCACCTTTGATTTGGTCTTTTTTTCTGATTGATATGATTATTTTGCCGTACTTTTTATGTTAACGCTCAATATGGCTTGACTTGCATCTACAGGGCAAGATGCATCCAATGGACATGTTCTGCCTCCTTATACGCTTTTAAGCGTTGGAAGAGTGAGTTACTAGTTTTCCTTCTCTTTTTCCCCCCTATGAGATTAATTTTTTTTTATCCTATGAGATACAGTGGTGGCCTTGCTTGTTATTTTCTATTGATGGCTTTAGTCTTCAACTCGAATATTTAACAGTGGTTCTGCCAATCTTTCTAATAAACTACAAGATTCTAAAACTCTACTTTGGCCTCATTGTAAAAAAAATAGTTTCAGTAGTTTTGATTTCTTCATTGGATTCTTGATTTAGTTTTAGTTTTGACTGTGCTGTTAGTTACTTATTTTTTATAAAATATTTTTAAAAATGTATATTTTAGGCATGAGACAATGTGAAATAATCTACTTGGGTCCCGTGCTTTATGGCTATTGAAATTTGTTGGGGGCTTAAACAGTTGACATTTGATGACCTGTCAAAATTGTAGCGAAGTTTAGTTCTAAACTTCAGAGTTTTGTCTGTAACTTTGCACTTCAATTTTGCTTGAAACTCGCGAAAATAAATTTTTAATGGAAATCATTCAAATACCACTGAAACTAAACTAAAATAACATAAATCTATAACCATGGTTAATAGCATGGAAAACTGCATTTTATACACTTTATGAATACAGAATATATGCTCTTCTATATGGACTAAAGTGCCTGTGAAGACTTTTATTCTTGTTAATTTTTTTACAAAATTGTCCATTTGGATGAAGAAGGATATGCATGTTCTGGTGCAGCCTTAACAATATGCTTGTATTTGCTCCTTATTGCAAATGTTGTGAATTGTTGATTGATAGGAAAATTGAACTTGCATGTTTTTAAGTTTTAAAGGTTTAGCAATTAATGCTTGCATAAGCCATCCACCACTGTATGTTTCTAAAATTTTTAGCAATTGTATTTATTTCAGTGTTTTTTAAAGAATGAATTTCATTTCTTTTTGCTGTGAGTTCTTTTAACACAGACTATGACTCTATGCCTCTAACTTAAGTTGATTACCCTAATTTTAATTAGCTTAAATTGCATGGATATTACATTGACCGAGTTTAAGTATCAGTCATCTGTAACAAAAGCTTTGTAAGATACAAATTAATCACAATTCTTTTTTTCTTCCGGAAAGGTTAGTTTTTGGCTACAACAACAACAACAAAGCCTTAATCCCAGTACGTGGGGTCGGCTACATGAATCCTTTTTCTCCATTGCGTCCTATTTAGTGTCATATTTTCATTTAGTTCTACTAAATTAAAATCATTTTTAATACAATAAGCCCAAGTCTTCCTAGGTCTACCACTGCCTTTCTTAACACAAGTCGAATCTAAAACATCTACTCTCCTAATTGAATCATTAGATGGTCGACGTTTAATGTGACCAAACCATCTAAGACGGCTTTCTCTAATTTTGTCCGTCACAAGAGCTGCCCCAACCTTATCACGAATATATTCATTTCGCATTTTGTCTCTAAGTGTAAAGCCACTCATCCACCTAATCATTCTCATCTCGGCAACACTTAACTTATTATTATGCTTCTCTTTTAAAGGCCAACGTTCAGCGCCATAGAGAATTGCAAGTCTCATCATCGTCTTATAAAATTTTCCTTTCAGTCTAAGCGGTATTTTTATATCACACAAAAGGCCGGAAGCATTCCTCCACTTCAACCAACCAACTTGAATTCTACTATTAACATCCCCATCTATATCACCATCGCTTTGTACAACATACCCAAGATATGTAAATCGTTCACACCTTTTAATAATTTGATCACCCAAAGTCACACTTCTGTCACTAGAGCTATTACTACTAAAATTACATTCCATGTATTCAGTTTTAGTTCTACTTAAACGAAGGCCTTTAGACTCCAATGTAGACAAGGAATAGTTAAAAATAAATTGAATGAATTTGGAATAGTGATAAGGAACAAAGTTAGATTTATGGCTAAATGGTACAACCAAATAGAAGAAATAGACTTTGAAGAAATCTTTGCCCCTGTAACCTCACTAGAAGCCATCCGACTACCAATTCACTAGAAATGATATTTGGAAATTAGTGTAAAGACCTTCAAAACAAAATATAATTGGAATTAAATGGGAAATAAAAAATAAGTTGAATGAATCTGAAATAGTGATAAGGAGCAAACTTAGATTTATGGTCAAATGGTACAGCCAAATTGAAGGAATTGACTTTGAAGAACCCTTTGACCCTGTAGCCCGACTAGAAGCCATCAGACTATCATTAGTATTTTCATATTTTAAAAGATTTAAGTTATATTAAATGGATATTAAGAGTCCTTTCTTAAATTGTATAATTGAGGAAGAAGTATATGTTGAACAACCTCCTGGTTTTGAAAGTTCAATGCATTTTGATTATGTATACAATAATATAATATTAAAGAGTTTAGTAAGCCAAGAAACTCCCAAATCTCACAAATATTTCCACACTTCAATTGGGATATTGTCAGGTCCTACAAACTTTCCACCCTTGGTTTTCTTTAAAGCCTCCTCAACTTCTCTTTTGCTAATGCGACAATAAGATCATATCGTATGTATTATTCACGATATTAAGATCACAATGGTCGATCGTATTTTCAGAAATTTTATTAAAAAATTTATCAAAGTAACTCAGGCACCTATGTTGAATATTTTTTTTTAAGAAAAGTACATTTTGATTTTCATCTTTAATACACTTTACTTGAGTTAAATCTTTAAGTTAAATCTTTACTTTACTTTTTTTTTCTCTTTTTTTGGCTAGTTTATACATATAATTTTCACCCTCCTTAGTATCTAATCTATTATAAAGATCATTAAAATTTTTAGTGTCACAGATTGTTCTTTTAATTGTTCTCTTAAACTTCGTACGGGTCATCTTATGTTTTTCTCAATTTTCCAAGCTTTTACATTTAAATCAATTTTTATAACATAATTTCTTATATTTTATCTTTTCTTGCACATTATTATTTCACCACAAACTATTTTTATTTGTAAATATTTTTTATTTTGATTCTCCAAGCACATCTTTTGCTACTTGTTTAATAGTGTTTGTTATTTTATCTCACATACTTTTTCATGAATATCTTAAATTTTGAAAACTTGAATTTTGCTCATAAAAATAATTTTATTTGTGTCTTTGAAGTTTCTTTATCTAATTCTACGATGATGAGTCCTAGTATTTTTTATTTTACAACTCTTATTCTTAAAATATAAAACTAATAAACGATGTTGGGTACTTAAATTTTCACTTGCAATAACCTTATAATCTTTACAATCGCGACGATCCTTTCTTCTCATAAGAAAATAATCAATGTGTTTTATTAGATCCACTCTTATAAGTAATAAGATGTTCATCTCTTTTCTTGAATAAAGTATTAGTAATAACAAAATCATACGGTAAAGCAAAATCTAAAATAGTTCTACTTTCTTCATTAGTTACTCCAAAATCGTAGTCACCATGAATATTTCTGAAATCTTCTACAACTCTACCGACATGTCCATTTAAATCTCCTCCAATGAAAAGTCTTTCTTCAAGAGGTATCATTTGTATAAAGTCTTCTAAGTCATTCTAAAATTTATTTTTAGAACCTGTATCTGAACCTACTTGAGGAGCATAAACACTTATAATATTAAAAATCTTAGTATCAATGATAATCTTAAGGGATATAATTCTATCACCAACTCTTTTAATTTTTTACAACATTATCTTTCAAACTCTTATCTATAATTACACCTACACCATTTCTAGTGCGACCCTTGCCAGAATACCAAAGTTTAAAACCTAAATTATCAATCTCCTTAGTCATTTCTCTAACCCACTTAGTTTCTTGAGTACATAAGATATTAATTTTCCAATGAATCATAATATCAACTAATTTCATTAATTTACCATTGAGAGAACCTATATTCCAAGTTTTTATCATAATATTAGTTTCATGGACTAACTTCTTTACCCACATTCGCCCGTAATGTGGGAACCCTTGCTTATTTAACACAACACCCGGGCGTCGGTATAGCGGCCCTTACACACTTTTCACTGTATTCAGACTATACAGCGCGTCGCTTCAAGGGGACGCCCTAGCGCTTACACAATGATTAAAAAAATTCATGTCATAATTTTTTTCGAGAAGTTTTACGTTGGCTGTCGACTACCTAATTCCATTATTTTTTTTCGACAAGTTTTACTATAAGACTTATCCCTATTACAAAAGAGCATTTGTAACCCTTCCACCAATCATTTGAGCAACCTCTCTCTCTCTCTCTCTCTCTCTCTATATATATATATATATGTATATATATATATATATGAAATTAAAAACTCCACTTAAATAAGTCAATGACGAATGAATTTCCTAATAAAAGCTACAAGAATCATAAATTTTCTAGATTCATATATCGTTATGGTGTCGAGATGGTTAGATGTTTGGTTTAACTCTTATCTCATGAGATTGTTTCTCTTAAAGCTCCAATGATTTGTATTTAATTGATGTGGGTTTAAATGGGTTAATTTTAATAGGCTAAGGGCTAGACTAAGGCTCTGTTTGGTGTAGCTGCAGCTATGTTTCCCCAGGAAGCTGCTGCGGTGAAACTGTTGCGAGGAAGCTAACTGTCTGTTTATTGCAGCTGTGTGAGAACAGCTGTGGGGCAGCTATTTCTGCAAAAATGATCATTCTATCCATGTTTAATCAAGCTGTTTAAAACAGAACTGTGGTGCCACATCTTTGATCAAAATTACTAAATTAATTATTTATTAAATAAAAATTTAATATTAATCAATTATTAATTTATTAGTTATTAATTATATCAATTAAGAGTTACTTATAAATTTATTAATTATTAATCAATTAATCTACAAATATAACTTAAACAAAAAAATTTATAACCATGAACCTCTCTTCCTTCCCTCCTCGAAACCCTTGTCTCCATCCCCACCTTCTCTACCCACGAAACAGTCGCGAGCAGAGGGGGGGGGGGGGGGGGGGGGGTCGACTTGCGGCGCGCATTCGGCCATATTTGCGGCCTGCCGCGAGCAGAACGCCGAACC